CATCATCATCATCATCATCATCATCATCATCATCATCATCATCATCATTACCCTCACCCTCATCATCATCATCATCATCATCATCATCATCATCATCATCATCATCATCATCATCATCATCATCATCATCATCATCATCATCACCTGTGTCTGGAAGACGCGGACCTGCTCCTGCTGCTCCTCCAGCTGGTTGGCGAGCGCCTGTCTCTCTGCCTGCGCCTCAGCCAATCGCTGCTTGTACTTCTCAACCCGTTTCACCTGTCGCCACCACCACAACAGCAGCACGCATCGCCCCATCCATGGCCCCGTGAAGGCGGTGATGAACCAATTTGGGCAAGAAGCACCGATACTGACATCACACAACAACGACACGCAGCTCTGCAATGTAATGTGTAATGCGCAAACGCACACACACACACACACATGTGCGTGCAAACACAAGTACACGTGCACATGGCCATCGCACGCAACGCACACACACACCTGCTTCTGGTACGCCTCTGCGGTGATGGCTCCCGGTGCAGCGGCCTTGTTGGAACCCGGCAGGCTCGTGTCAGAGCCCTGATACGTACGACGTGGGGGTGAGTGCGTGAAAGGACGGAAATGTGAATGTTGAAGCAAGGATAAGTGCTTGTGCTTGTCGTGTGAGTGGTTGATTCAACACCACATGTACCTGCTTCGGGAGGTCCTTTGGCTTGGTCGCATCCTGCAGGCAATCAAGCAAATGTGGTGAGAGTCGCATCCAGATATTTTGCTTTCACGTACACACACACACACACACACACACGAGACGGTAGTCAGTCATAGATACGCACTGCACGACGATGGTTGTGTGTACCTTCACGGCGCCCTCCATGCGCTTCTTCAAGGAGGAGAACATGCCGCCGGCCTTCTTTGGCTTGGGCGTCTTGTCAGTGGCACTGGCATCGCTGGTATCGGCCTATCGTCACACGAGCACGAGCAGGGCTCAGGGTGAGCGACAAAAGCCGGGCATTTGGGTGTTCTTGTTGAAGTATCACTCCCATGCATTCCAGCCACAAAACGCACGCACACATGCACGCACACACGCACACACACATGCACGCACACACGCACACACGCACAGGGACGCACGCACACACACACACAACCCACACGCTGGCAAACGTGTTTGCACACACCCCACATGCATGTGCTGTCACGCTTGCCTTGTTGGCTGAGGATGAAGATGCGGGTTCAGTGTCAGCGGTTGCGGGATCGGTGGTGGTTTGCGGTTGCTTTCCGTTTCCGGCCGGTTGCGCTTCCTTCTGCTTCGTGTCAGTGGCACCTGTGCTCGCGGAGGACTCTGTCTTTTCCTCCTCCTCCGCAGCCGTGCGTTCAATCACCTTCTTCTTCAGCCCAGCAAACATCGTCGTCGCTGGTGCTGGCTGTTGTGTTTGTGTTGTTGGTGTTGGTGTTGGTGTGCTGTGTTGTGCTGTGTTGGTTGTGCCGGCTTCTGCTGTGTATGTGGAGGTGAGACAACGGCCTAAAAATAGGACAGTGGTTGCTGCATTTGCGACGTGAGACTGAGGCGAACGACAACCACCACGACCACGCCAACACAAGATGACAACAGGCAAGCAAGAGATGTGCGAGAGAGCTTGCGCTTGTCTTTGGTAGCTAGCCGTGTTGACGGGCCTGAATGAGGCTTGATCTCGACTGCAGGGCTCGCGTTCTCACGCGTCTGCGGGTGGCATGCATGCATGCATGCTTGCTTGCTTGCTAGCTTGCTTGTGTGGTTCTCTTTCTTGTCTTTGATCTATGTCGCTCACCTGTGTGTGTGTGTGTGTGTGACTTCTTTTGCTGTTTGTGGGTTGTTTGTCAATCCCTCAGCGCACCGCCCCACATGGACACCCGCCCAGGGTGGCAAGGGCAAGTACGACTCCAGCCTCGGCCTAATCTCCCAGCAGACATCTGTTCGCGATGCACCGGCACACACCAAGCTCAAATTCAGGTGTGTGCGTGCGTGCGTGTGCGTGTGTGCGTGTGTGCGTGCGTGTGTGGGTGTGTGCGCGTGTGTGTATGCGGTCACAGGCGCATTGCTTGATGCTGCGCACGACAAACAAGTACATTCCTCTTTCATTCGTGCTCTGTCGCAGGCACGATGTTGAGACCAAGGACGAGGAGGAGATGAAGCGCGAGCTTGAGCAGCGCGAGGCCAAGCACTTTGACGACATTCGCAAGGAAGAGGAGAAGCGGGGTACGTGTCGATGGTGTGTGCGTGTGTATGTGTGTTGTGTGTGTTGTGTGTTGTGTGTGTGTGTGTGTGTCTTGTGTGTGTATGTGTGTGTCTTGTGTGTGCGTGCGCCCTTGTGTGCACTTGTTTGTGTGCGCTTGGCGTGTGTACGCTTGTGTTTGTGAGCGCGCCGGCTTGCGTGCTGTCTGACGCCTCTGGCTCGCCTTGCCGGCTTGCCTAGCTACCACGCTCCTCCCTTGCCTGTCTTTCATCTCACCGTGCGTGTACGCGTTGGGCCGTGCAGCGGGCATCACCGCCATCACGGGCGCGGCGGACGAGGCAAAGACATCGAGGCCGTCAAAGCTGCTGGCCATCACCACGGACGAGGCAGACGAAGACCTGCCCGAGGATGACGAGAGTGCGGACGAGAGCGACAGCGACAGTGATAGCGACGATGATGACGATGACACGGCGCAGCTTCTTGCTGAGCTGGAGAAGATCAAGAAGGAGCGCGCAGCGGAGCAAGCACGCAAGGTGTGTGTGTGTGTGTGTGTGTGTGTGTGTGTGTGTGTGTGTGTGTGTGTGTGTGTGTGTGTGTGTGTGTGTGTGTGTGCTCTGGAGTGCTTTCTTGAGCGGGTTGTTCTTGCACTACGCATCTTGCTGTCTCCTGCTCACCCATAGATACACACACACACACATCCGCACGTACACACGCACACACACACACACACACACACACACACACAATCAACCCCTCCTCCTTCCACCTGTTGTCAGGAGGAGCTGAAGGCTGAGGAGGAGTCTCGGGTGCGGCTTGCGAGCATCGTCAAAGGCAACCCCCTCCTCAACGACGGGCAGTCCGGCGACTTCACCGTCAAGCGCAGGTGCCGCGTTGTGTTGTGTGGTGGTGTGTGTGTCGGTGTGTGTGTGTGTGTGTGTGTGTGTGTGTGTGTGTGTGTGTGTGTGTGTGTGTGTGTGTGTGTCGGTGTATGTGTGTGTGTGTGTGTCGGTGTATGTGTGTATGTGTGTGTGTGTGTGCGTGTGTGTGTGTGCTCCCAACTCCTCGCCCATTTTCCTTTTCGCTCACGTGCTCATTCTACCACCACCGTTTCCTCTGTTCATCTGTGCACGTGTGCGCGGCAGGTGGGATGAGGACACCGTCTTCAAGAACTGCGCACGAGGCGAGAAGCAAAGCAAGGTGTGTGTGTGTGTGTGTGTGTGAGTACGTAGGTGAGAGAATGACTTCTCTCTCTCTCTCTCTCTCTCTCTCTCTCTCTCTCTCTCTCTCGTGTGTATGTGTGTGCTTGCGTGTGTGTTCCTCTCTGCCTCACGCCCGCCCCTGCTCTTCTTCTTGTGCTGCAACTGTGTGCCTCCTGAACATGTGTACATGTATCGCCCCGTTTGCACGATTGTATCGCTCACATGCCACCACCACCACCACCACCACCACCACCATCATCATCATCACCACCACCGCTGGCGACGTGCAGAAGCCGCGCTACATCAACGACACTCTTCGCTCCGAGTCGCACATGAAGTTTATGGAGCGGTACATCAAGTGATGATGCGTTGACTTGGTGTGCTGTGTGTTTGTCATGTTGTTGTGCATGTGCATGTGCGTGTGTGTGTCAATGTGCATGCTTATCCTTGTGAATTGTTCCTCAGTGCGTGGTCCCTCCCCCTGTCTTGATTCATGTGCTGTAGCTGTCACGTGTCTCCTTATTCCCTCTTCATTTCTCGACGTGTTGTGGTGCCTGGCGATCGGTCTATTCACCAAAACCAAAACAAACAATACACGACCTGGTTGACATGCGATATGCTCACACGTGCACTGAACGTGGACACACACGCGCGTATCGGAGAATGCACACGCATGAACACACATTCACACACACACACACACACACGCTCACATGCGAGACCCTCGAGTGCGGGGCATGAAAAGCAACGTGAACTCATGCAACAGGGTGCCGGTAATAACAGGAGGCGATAACTGATGAAAGGAGGGATTGAAATCAAGTCGTGCACACACACACACACACACACACACACACACACACACACACACACACACACACACACACACACACACACACATTGTTCAGGGCTCATCGCTTGGCTCAGGAACGGGGTCGGTGAGCTCATAAGACTTGTAGCACTTCATGTTGTTCTCGGGAAACTTGGACATGCCGCACGCGCCCTTATCGAGGTACTGTGCATCGCGTACGCCGACGTCGTGCAGCAGCTGTGTGCAGAACTTGGCGCGGCGAGATGTGCGGCACCCGGTCACCACCGGTTTTGTTGCAGACAGAAGCTTCTCCAGCCCTTCCGAGTGCGCACCTGAAGGTGATGTCGTGATGATGGTGGTGGTTGAGGTAGTTGTAGCGATGGAGGGAGATGAGGGAGATGAGGCGTGTGAGGACCTGACCATCATCCTCATCTTCAAGCACATGCGAACACACAGACACACAAACACACAAGCATACACATACACACAGACACATGACACACATACACACACACACAAACATACACACACCGCACATATACACACGCATACACAAGAACACGACTCACACACACTCACACACACACACACACACACACAAACATACACACACACACACAAACACACACACACACACACACAAACATACACACACAAACACACACCTTGGTTGAGCTGTCGGAGGAGCTCGTGCAAGGGGATGTGCACGGCATAGCTGAGCATGCCAAAGTTGTCGACTTCATCTTGCCGGCGAACGTCCAGGAACACAAGGTTGTCCCCTGTGCGATGGTTGGATGTGGATGGAGCGTTGGGGAGGGTGGTGTTTGAGCGTTGGGGTTAGCGTGGGGGGGGGGTCGCAGACGCATGCAAGGACTTGAAAGTTGAAATCGAACAAAGCTGAGCACAGGCATCGCTCACATGCACACCCAAACACACACATGCACACAGGCACAAATGTGCGTACGTTCGGTCATGACGGTTTGGCAGTCCTTTGACTTGAGCTGGAAGGAGTCGCTGGCTGCAGGTTCTGTGTTGACGTTGAAGAAGACGACGGCGCGATCGGACTTGAACTCTGGCGCGTCGCTGCTATCATACACAACGACGGCGCAGCCATCTTCCGCAACGAGGTCGTCCAAGTACTCGTCGGGCTTGACCACCTGTATGTCCAGAACGCATGCGTCACAGCGTGAGATCGTGGGTGAGTGAGTGAATGAACGTGTGGGTGAAAGACTTGGTATTAAGGCATGAAAGGTACGCTGTCGTGCAGCTGTGTGATCGTGCAGCTGTGTGATCGTGTCGCTCTTCCCCAGCCCACACACAAACTCACACACAAACTCACTCACACACAAACTCACTCACTCACAAACTCACTCACTCACTCACACACACACACACACTCACTCACACACCAACGCAGCGCACCTTTGTGTTGTATTCTTCGACGGCGGGGATGGCCTTCTCCTGCGACGCGCGGAAGTCCACGACGACGTGTGGCACGGGATCGTTGGAGATCAACGAGTGGAACGACTCGTACGTGAGGGACAGCGGCATGGCGTGCTTTGTGTGCGAGAGAGAGAGAGAAGGGGGGAAGAGGGCTTGAGAGACTTTTGGTGGTTGAGACTAGTGGATGGCTGCTGTGGATGGGTGCTGTGGATGGGTGCTGTGGATGAATGCTGTGGATGGGTGCTGTGGATGGGTGCTGTGGATGAATGGTTGCTTGCTTCGTTCGTGTGTGTGTCTCCACCATCCCAGCCACCGCGCTGTCTTACTTTCTTGCTGCTACGGCGCAGAACGCAACGGACCGAACGCAACAACGCAACCTGCCTCGAACACACCCTAACTAATTTATGCAAATATTTTAATTCTGGTGCCATGTCAGCAAATTTTAGTGTCCCGGCAAGTACGCAACGCAACACGACAACGACCAGAAACTGGACACTCGACACCCTCGCTTGTCCCGGTCTGCCGCTCACGGACCTGCTCGTTTGAAGAAGGTTGCGAATAAACACCGCACAGGTGTGACACGGTGACGTTCTGGCCTGTTGTCTTCTTCGCGATCTCCTGGGTGCGTATGTCTGTGTGTGTGCGAACATGTCATGTGTTGCTCGAAGTACCCCATATCGCGGCCTCGTTGGAGCACTGACCACGCGCCACACACTGCGTTGTTGTGGCGTTGTGGCCATGCTGCTTCTCGAAGGCGAATTTGGCACAACCTGCGATCGGTTGATGCAAACGCAAAGCAGACTTGCGCACAGCATTGGGTTGTTGATTGTGACTTCGCTACCCCCCCCCCCTTGTTCTGTGTTGGTGGTGGTCGTGGGTGTGTTCTTTGTTCTTCTTCTGTGGGCGAGTTCGCTCGGTTTTGTTTCCCAAGCCATGCGCTTCTTGCTTTCCCGCTTCATCTTGCTTGTTTGCCTTGACAAAACCCCGCGTGCTCACTTTTCCTGTTTCCACCACCACCACACCTGCGACGACGACGTGCCTCAGATCCTTCAAGCTGTCCTTTTCTCTCCTCTCCTTCGCGCCCTCCACCAAACCAAACCAAATCAACACCTCCCCCCCCCGGTCCGCTTCTCTCTTTCTTTTTTCCACCCATACACGCAAAGGCAAGCATGGCGTCCGTGGACTTCCCAGAGGTGCCCATCCCCGTGCTGGACATCAGCCCGTTCTTCTCCGAGTCGGCAAGCGCGGAGGAGAAGCAGAAGGTTGCCCACGACTTTGACCAGGCCTTCCGCAAGTACGGCTTCGCCTGCATCAGCGGCCACGGCGTCGACATGGACATTGTCAACCGCGTGGAGCAGGAGGCCCGCAACTTCTTCTCCCAGCCAGCACAGGAGAAGACCAAGTTCAACTGCTCAAAGAAGTACGCACACCCGCATCATCCTCTTGCTGGTTTTTCATTTTGGCCTGCGTTGCGTCCTGTGCCAAAACACGCTCTTCTCTCGCCCATGTGGCAATCATGGCTTGGCTCTGCTTTCCGTTCTCCACGCTCGGTTTCGCGCTTGTGCTCCTTCTCCTCCTCTCACCAATGCCTGCACCGCACGACGTGCATACACGTACGCGCACTCACTCACACTCACTCACTCACTCACTCACTCCCGACACACACTTATCGTCCCACCTCCGTTCTCTCTACCTCCCACCCCCCCCCCTTTGCTTCCTTTGACAGCTACGGCAATGGCGGGTACACTGGGCTCAAGTCCGAGACGGTGAGCGTCAACGGCGTGTCTGACCACGTGGAGAGCGTCGAGTTCCGCGGCAACGGCAACGAGATGGTTGTGCCCTGCGAGGGCTGGAACCAGGACTTTATGGACGCCGTCAAGGCCTACTGGGGCCAGGTGGAGGGCCTGAGCATGCGCATCCTCAAGGTGGCTGCCGCCGCGCTGGAGGTTCCCGAGAACTTCTTTGACGAGTTCTACAACCCGATCCAGATGGACCTGCGCCTGGCCAACTACCCCTGCGTCAAGGACCGGGTTGAGATTCCGGATGCCACCATGGGCTACGGCGCGCACACAGACTACACGGGCTTCACCGTCCTCAAGGCAGACTACGAAGTCCAGGTGTGTGTCTGTGTGTGTGTGTGTGTGTACGTGTTTACGTGTGTAGTGCGTGTGTTTGTGCGTGTGTACGTGTGTAGTGCGTGTGTTTGTGTGTGTGTGTGTTTGTGTGTGTGTGTTTGTGTGTGTACGTGTGTACGCGTTTGCATGTGTCTGTGTTTACGTGCTAAAGGTGCGTACGTTCGTGCGTCAAATGTACGTGCGTTTGCACACGCACTACGCGGCACAGTACCCTCCCAAAAAACAAAAACAAACAAAACAAAAAACACCTAACTTACCTTCTCCCCTGCACCCCATCCCCCATCCCCCCATCCCCCTTTGCTTTCAACCCACCCACCAACACAGGGCCTGCAAGTGCTGCTGCCTGGCGAGACGACATGGAAGACGGTGATCCCACCAGAGGGCACGTTCATCATCAACTCGGGCGACCTCATTGGCATCTGGACCAACGACCGCTGGCCCTCGGTCGTCCACCGCGTGCTCCCTTGCGGGCCCCTCCCCGATGGCCGCTGCAAGGACCGCCTCTCCCTCGTCTCCTTCACGGGGCCAAACTACGCCTCCCAGATTGAGTGCGTGCCCACGTGTGTTGGCGAAGGCGCCCGCTACAAGCCCGTCAACGCCGGCGAGCATTTCCAGCAGCGCCTTGTTGCCGGCCGCTACAAGGGCGACGACAAGGATGGCAATGCCAAGTGAGCTGCATGAGCAGCGAGGCATGGCATGAGCCACCAACGGCGCCCGCATTCACCTCATCACCAAGTTTGTGTGTGTGTGTGTGTGTGTGTGTGTGTGTGTGTGTGTGTGTGTGTGTGTGTGTGTGTCAACAGTGTGCTTCAATGGCACGTCTATCATTCATGTTTTGTGAGAAAGTTGATAACTGTGCTGCAACTGCAATTACATCGACCGCAACCCCGCTCCTAATGAACCCATGTCTGACACAACAGCTCTTTTTTAGTCTTTCCCTTTTTCTTTTATCACCTTGCTGTTTCGTGTTGTTTTTGGCTTTGTTTCGGTTCTTTTCAATGTCGTGTAAATGTATGTGTGGGTGTGTGCGCTTCGCACACCGTAGCAATGGAAATGGATTGATCCATGGATGGGCTGCTGAAAGCAATGTGTGGGTGAGACATGATGATGATGATGACGATGATGACAACGCGACAGTGGGCTTTCAGTGGGCGTTCTGTTAGCGTGTTCTTCTTTCAAGGCAGCGCACTTTGCTTGCTGTCCTTGCGTCCACGCCTTTTGTTTATGTCTTCAATTCATTTTCCAAAACCAAAACACCACAAACGAACAAAGAAGGAAAAGGCACAACAAGCAGCAAGGAGCAAGCACAGGAGCAAGTCATGCTTGCAGCTCCAAGCGCCGCAGCTGCTGCTGCGGCAGTGCTGATGGTGGTGCTGGTGAGCACCCTGGGCACCCTTGTTGTCGCCCAAAGCACAAGCACAACAACCACAACGGGTTCGCCAGCAGCACCAGGCTGCGCATACACGGAGTGGTCCCCTTTTGGCGCATGCGCTGTGCAAAGCGATGAGTGTGTCCGTGTCCGCGTTCGATCCGTTTTGGCCGCGACAAACACGCCCGCCACCACAACAAACGCAACAAGCACCGCTGCCCCATGCACGAACACCAACCACGTGGAGTCCTGCGACCCACAGAGCTGTGCAGGTGCGTACAAGATCGTGACGGCTGACCGTGTTTGTTGGAGGGGGGCAGGGATCATGGTGTGTGTGTGTGTGTGTGTGTATGTGTGTGAGTGTGTGTGTGTGTGTGTGTGTGTGCGTGTGCGTGTGCGTGTGTGTGTGTGTGTGTGTGTGTGTGTGTGTGTGTGTGCGTGTGCGTGTGCGTGTGTTGGGGGTTTGCGGCCTTGTGCGCTGCCAGCCCACTGCTTTGGCGCATCCTTGTGCTCGAGTACTTGTTGACATTCATGCGCGCGCGTGTGTGTGTGTGTGCTTGCGGTACCACGAAGCAGACGCCCTGTCAATTGTCCTTGTTTTGACTTGCTGCTGATGCTTCATGTTGCTTGATGCTGTCTGGCTCACCTCTCCTCCACCCTGCAACACCAACAGAGGAGTGGTGCAGCCTTGGCGAGTGGTCGGAATGGTCCCCGTGCAGCGTGTCTTGCGGCGACGGCGGCATGCAATTCCGGTCCCGCCGCATCAACACCATCCCAAACGTTACATGCCCTCACCTCCAAGGAGAAGAGCTGCAGCAGACCCAGCCATGCCCTGTGATCGAGTGCCGTAAGTTGTACGACCTTGCGTCCTTGTTTCTGCATGCGTCCGTGTTGCTGTTTGTGTGTCTCTGTATGTCTGCGTCTCTGTGTGTGTGCATCTGTGCATCTGTGTGTGTGCATCTGTGTGTGTGCATCTGTGTGTGTGCATCTGTGTGTGTGCGTCTGTGTGTGTCTGCATGCGTGTGTGTGCATCTGTGTCTCTCCCTCTGTGTGTGTACCTGCGAAAAGCTCTTCTCTTCATGTGTGTAACCGTGAACGCGCGTGTCCTTGCCCAATGGCCTCACACGTCTGTGTTCCTGTTCGCCATCAGCCACGCCGGAGGTGGTTGCCGAGAACGGCGACCTGTACCTGACGGTGCCCGACGGAAACGCAGTCTACTTCAAAGAGGGCGATATCGTCACCTCCCTCGACACCCTTCGTGATGAAATCGGTGTGTGTGTGTATGCGTGTATTGTGTGTATTGTGTGTGCCTCTCTGTGTGTGCGTGTGGTGTGTCTGTGTCTGTGTGCGTGTGGTGTGTCTGTGTCTGTGTGCCTGCATGTGTGTGTGTGCGTGTATTGTGCCTGCATGTGTGTGTGCGTGTATTGTGTCTGTGTGTGTGTGTGTGTGCAATGAGTGCCTGCCTGACAGCCGTGCCGTCACAATCCGAAAGCACTGGCACTCACAACCCACTCATCCTCCTTCTTCTGCACCTCTTTCCCTCGGCCTTTAACCTCTTCATCCCCCCTTCCTACCCCAGCGATGGCAGTGGATGAGCTTGGGGATCACCAGTCTGGGCAGCTTGATCTGGTTCGACAGTTTGCTGCAGACGAAATTGGACTCCTTCGCACAGCAATCAACGACAAAGCAGCTCAGACACTCCGTACTGCAAAGGTACCGATCTGTGCGTGGTGTATGGTGTGTGGTGTGTGTATGTGTCTGTGTGTTTGTGTCGTGTCTGTGTGCATATGTGTGTCGTGTCTGTGTGTTTTGTGTGCATATGTGTCTGCGCGCGTGTGTGTCGTGTGTGTCGCCTGTACCATCTGTGACGTGGTCACCTGCCCTTAACCCTTTTCCTTCCAAAGTCACATCGTCTTTCACCATGTCTCTGCTTTGCATGTGGATGCAGGCGTACACTGACGTGGCTGCTGCTGATTTGGAGTTCAACATCACCGCTGCAGCCGAGCGACTGGATGGACGCATTGACACTGTTCAGGGCCGCTTCCTGCGTACGTTGAGAGAGAGAGTGTGTGTGTGTGTCTGTGTGTGTGTGTGTGTCTCTCTGTGTGTGTGTGTGTCTGTTGTCTGTGTCTGTGTCTTTGTTATGCGTGCGTGTGCATGTGATGCAGGTGTGCTTTGCCATTCAGCTTGCTTGCTGCCACGTATTCTTTGCTGCTCATCCACATCACCACTAACACGTTCAATGCAATCACACTCGCACACTCGCACACACACACATACACAATCGCACACGATGTAAACACACAACTGCACGGTTGTAGGGGAGCTGGCGCTGCTGGAAGACCTTGTTGCACACAATCTGACTGTGATTGACGACAAGCACGGCGACGGCCACGAGAGCCAGGCCGCCCTCATCACGGACCTGCTTGCTGATCTGGCAGATGTACAGGAGGACGTGGCGTCGCTCGTGATGTCAAAGGCTGACGCTGCCGATGTGCAATCCGAGCACGCAAGCATTCGCCAAGAACTCAATGCCGCCGTCGGCACCCTCAACAACAGGGTGTGTGTGTGTGTGTGTGTGTGTGTGTGTGTGTGTGTGTGTGTGTGTGTGTGTGTGTGTGTGTGTGGATGGTTGGGTGGATGAAAGCATCCGAGTTAACCAGCCAACCGACTTGTGTTGATTCACGCCGCTTCCTTGGTCGTGTGCCCATCAATGATTCTGTTGACACTGTTACAGATTGACGCCATCATGACTGGTCTCCTCCCATCCACCATCGCGAAGCCGACAGCAGCGGTGCGCAGTCGCTTTCTCCTCTTGCTCACACGTCCTGTGCTGTGGCATGCTTTTCAAGGGTTCACACATTGGCTCGCGCATGCCACACTCCACTGTCGAAACCATGACCTCCACGCATGTCGCATGTAGTATCATCTTCAACACACACACACACACACACACACACACACACACACACACACACACACACACACACACATACCACGCACCACATGCATCCTACGCGTGATGCATTACGCACAACTCACCCAACACCACCACCACCAACACCACTGCGCATCGACACCAACACCACTCACTCACACCACCACCAACACCACGCATCACCAACACCAGGCCACGCGCTCCGCCGTGACCATCACGTGGCAGGCGCCGCCATCTGCGCTGCCCATTATCGGCTACACCATCTTCTACACCGTAGCTGATGGCGATGAACAGGTACGTGATGTCGTTGGAGCAGTGGTGTTGCGGTCCTGCTTTGATTTGCTTTGAGCGTTGTGTTTTCCGCGTTTGCTTGTCATTGACAGTGCCGGCTTGCTTGACCTTGCCTGCTGCGGCTCGTTGTGCCCCACACCTCCAAGGCACCTCTGCCGTCATGCTCACCCCGCATGTGTTTGCGTGTGCAGGAGGCGGAGGTGCCAGGTGACACGACCACCTTTGAGCTGACCAACCTCGAATCGGGGCAGTCGTGTACACTCGCCGTCGCCGCCACAAACGGCCTCGGTGCAGGTGGGAGCCAGCAGTGGTGGTGATGTGGTGGCTGCGATTGATGTGACATGTGCATAGTTGTGTAGAGTGGGTCGACTGTGACGTGGTTGAAGTGACATGACAGCATGTGGTCTGAGCGGTGAGTCTCCTCTTTTGTCTCGTCTCCTCTTACCGTACCCCAAAACCTCCCCTCACCACCACCTTGCGTCTCTCGGTTACCAACTACACTTCCCGTGTGTACGTGCAACAGCACCTCAGCGCAGCACTGCTGTGACTGTGGCGACGAGCGGGCTGGTGGCGGCTCGTCGCTACCACTGCCAGCCAGGGGCGTGGGAGGTGACATCAAGCCCCTCCATCAAGACAGCGTGCAGCGTGCAGATTCCAATCTCCGAGCCAACCATCATCCACGCCACATTCACAGGTTTGTTGTGCAAGTGGCTCACGCGAATCGGGCCTGTGGTTCAGCTGGCCATTTGCTGCTGCCATGCACACAGTTTTACATCATTGCCTGATCCCCTGCGACGGCACACGCTCACCCGCTGCAGTTCCCCTCACTCACTCACTCACTCACTCACTCACTCACTCACTCACTCACTCACTCACTCACTCACTCATTCACTCATTCACTCATCATCATCATCATCATCATCATCATCATCATCATCATCATCATCATCATCATCATCATCATCATCATCATCAGGCCATGCCATCTGCGGGAGCGCGTGGATATACGGTGCCATCTCCGTCAACGGCGACATTCCAACGCCCGGCTCGCACCAGTCAGAGGCGCCCGCACACACGTACACGCGCACGTGGGAAACGTTTGGCACAGATCGCGTTGTCGCCGTCGACTCGGGTGCGCTTCATGCGTGTGTGTGTGTGTGTGTGTGTGTGTGTGTGTGTGTGTGTGTGTGTGTGTGTGTGTGTGTGTGTGTGTGTGTGTGTGTGTGTGTGTACACGCGCTCCCTCGCTCGCTCGCGCCTTTCGACTGTTTTTCACTTACACCCATCTCCGTTCGCACCCTCCTCCTTCTCATCATTCTAACCGCCCTCCATTACAACAGGCACGGCAACGGTGGAGCTGCGGCTTCGCTTCGGCAGCTCCTCCTGCCAGTTTAACGGCGGCTCAATGGTGAGGAACGCCCATTTCGATGAACACATGCACGTGTGCATGCCTTTGCCTTGCGGTCATTCGCAACCTCATACACGGTCGCGTACATTGCATGCACATTCGCACGTTCGCACATTCGCGTACGCACACACACGCACGCACGCGCGCGCTTGCAGCACGTGGTAGCCATCACTGGGCGGCAGGCCGGTGAAGATGAAGCATTCGCCTGCGCACCCAGGTATGACACACACGCACGCGCACACACACACACACACACATAAATGGCGGCTGCATGCCCTGTAGTTGCTGCCGCTTAATGCTGTTGCTTGTGTCACGCCACCCCGTTTACAACACTGCCAAACACATGCGTGTCTGCGCGCGTGTACTTACAGCGGCAATTCGTTTGCTCCTCTTCTGTGTTCATGGCCACACCCCCTTCTCCACTCTTCGTGCTGCCGCCTACAGTGTTTGGGGCACCAGCACAGGCACGCAGCAGTATGATTTCAAGCCGTGTACAACCGCCATCCACGCGCCTTTCTCCAGCTCCCTCTTCTCCTTCTTCACGGGCCACGTCGTTACCAGCGGCGCCGTTTATGGTGCAGTAGAGGTGCGTATAGTGTGTGTGTGTATGTGTATAGTGTGTGTATGTGTGTGTGTAGGTGTGTGTGTAGGTATATATATGTGTGTGTCTGTGTCTGTGCGCTGGCATATGTTGCGTGTTCGCCAAAGCTGACCTTGCATCGTCGTGCCACCAGGTTGATAACACGCCACGCGGCCCCGATATTGGCACTCAACGCTATGCGTACGTTACCGACAACTATCAGTGTGTGTGTGTGTGTGTGTGTGTGTTTATTCAAAGCCTGTCCCTCAGAGAACGCTCGCTGACAGTCGTCTTGCTTTGCTCACGTGTGGGGTGGATGTATTATTCGGCTCTGCTGTTCAGTCCCGCCCACTCGTACACGTCTGGGAGCGACTGGAACACGTTCCGCGCATTCCGAACAGAGAACATCGACGCGGTGCGCTCATGTTCCTGTGTGTGTTTGGGTGTGGCGTGTTTGGGATATTACGGACATTTGGATTACTCTGGTTTGGCTGGGGGCGCTTTTTCCTAGTATCTTCTCCCCTATGATTTACCATTCTTTGTGCCTTGGATTCACATTTAGTTTCCATGATTGGCACTTTTTCCTATCTTC